GCGTTGACAGAGAGGAGAAGGTAGAAATGACTCAGCCTGGAACTGAAAATATGGATGGAGGACAACAGAGCTGCTTCATGGAAGAAGAACCTCAGCATAGCCTGTTAGCTTTAGCATTAGCCCCGATGCTATCACCATATATATGTATTAGCGCTACACATTCTCCTTCAGTAGCCGCGTTTCCATTGACCATGAAAATGCGCAAATTAGAATTTTGAAAATAAATTTGCTCAATGGAAGCAAGTCAATTTCGAAAAATATTACGTTTTTCGACAAAATGTTTTTGTGCTAGGATAAGGTGGTATTTTGGCTGTATCAATTGGTGTTTTTCACAAAACTGCAATGAAAACACTTTTCGCATCATGGGAGTCATGTGATCAACAACCGGCTGTTTCTACTGGTGAAAAAGATGACGATGAAGATAACAGGAAGTAGAAATATTAGTAATATCACAGAAGAAGTATAAAACAGTAAACTCACCAACTACAATTTCCTAAAATCACAGCTTACGTAGCCACTCCCAAGTAGGGAATTGTCGCTGGAAAGCCTCGATAAAAGACGCCGACGTCTCCTCTGATAATGAGTGCGAGTGTCGCGGTAGCAACATGCTATGTGTTTACGTCCATCACTGCCATGTTTATGACTTATGCTACGTTCACACCGAACTCGTTTTGAGCTGCAGAAGCGGCCGGTTTACATGCAAAGTCTGTGGAGGACACGCCTCTAGGGGTCGTACGTTGCGTCACGTACGTTTTGGGTGGCTCGCAAGACGGCGGAAGCATTTTACGTGCATGCAGTGCTGCGGAAGCCTCCGCCACCCGAGCCGCCGCCAGAGTTCAAATTGCTGAACTTTTCGCCGCTCAACGCGTCTCCCACTGAAAACCGAAACAGACGGACTGGAGATCTTTACCTGAAATCGACCGTGTGCAGTTGGGTTTTCTGGCAGGATATATCAGCACCGATGTGGATCAGCTGCTCAGGACAAAAAAAAAGTCCGTGAGCTGGCAGCTTCTGGAGTGACGAAACTAACCAAACAAATCGCTTCTAAATCATCTGGTGATTTAAGTATCTGCTGTGCACAACGTTTACTTGCTTTTTCATAAATATATCAAAGCCATTTTCTTTTCTTTTATTTTATCTTTATTCACCCGCCAAGGTGACATTCCTCCCACACCCAGCTGCAGCCGCTGTTGCTGCTTCTCGTTCTGGTCTGAATACCAGTGCGTTCTTTGGTCTGAGGCGTTTTGCGGTTTTTGGCCGCTCAAAACGTGTTTGGTGTGAACGTAGCATTGTCGCAAGAACAAACGTATTCACACGTGACTTTAATGGCATTTCTTACTTAAAGGAAACACCGCAGTTGTGAAACTGTTTTCGACATTAACAGAATATCTACAAAGTTTTGCGCACATTTGCAATGGAAACGCAGCTACTGAGGTCCTCCATCCACATGACAGTGAGGGGAACGCAAAAATGACAGCCTGCAACTGAAAATATGGATGGAGGACCTCAGTTTAGCTTGTTTGTCAAGCTAGCGCTGAGCTAATACGTATAAGGCAATATATCATCAGCACTAGCGTGGAGGCTAACAGGCTAAGCTGAGGTTCTTCTTCCATGAAGCAGCTCTGTTGTCCTCCATCCATATTTTCAGTTCCAGGCTGAGTCATTTCTACCTTCTCCTCTCTGTCAACGCTCTCTGGTTTCATTTAAAAGAGCCGATCATCAGATATTGTCCAAGATTAACCTTCAGGGTGGATATAGCTCGCTAGCAGCCTCGCACCGATGACCTATCCACATCATCATTTACCCAGAATGCTTTGTGTGTAAATAAAATGGCTCCATCCTTAAAATATATCTTAAAAAATTTACAAAACTAACAGCCTACAGTATTTTTACAGTCTTTATTTTGCAGTTCAAAACGTTTTTCAAATTTCTGATTCTTCAGACTTGCTGACTGTAACCTCTCAGAGAAGAGCTGTAAAGCGTTGACGTCAGTTCTCAGCTCCCAGTCTTCTAGTTTGAGAGAGCTGGACCTGAGTAACAACAACCTGCAGGATTCAGGAGTGAAGGCACTTTCCTCTGGATTGAAGAGTCCACACTGCAAACTGGAAACTCTCAGGTCAGATCTGTTTTTACTTTTGAAAGTTTTTGACTTGCAGAAATTTTATTCATCTTCCTRGAAGATTTTAGATGTTAAACTAGGGCTTGCCACGYGCCGGCCAATTTAAATAAATGTTTGAATTTACTGTTTGTTGGAGACCTGTGTACATCCAAAATTTGAGCTAAATGTCAAAAATGGCTGAGTTATAGTTAATTTTGCATTTTAACTATGGTGGACATCTTGGATTTTTATTTAGCATTCAGAATTTGTCAGCTTGTTCCTGGCTACCACTATAGCAGTTTTCAGCTCTGTATGTCTTCAAAAGTCAGAAAGTTGGTTACACATTTTAACCCCAGATTCTATGAGTGTAAGCGCAGCCCTCTAAGGCTATCGCAGATGGATATCCCTCCGTGCCCCGCGCACATTCTGAATAAACCAGTAGTCTATGCCCACGTACCGTGGGGCCCCACCTTGGTCCGTATAAAAGCCGGTCGGACCTATGTACTGCTCCCAAAAGCTTACTTTTTCTTCAGCTTCGGAAGCCGGTGAGGCCCCGATTCTTAGAGGGCTGCGCTTACACTCATAAAATCTGGGGTTACAATGCGTAACCAACGTTCTATTTCGTGTAAGTTCCGCCCTCTAAGGCTATCGCAGATGGGTATTAGAGGCGGAGCCTGATGTAGTCTACGCCTCACCGGCTTGACATACACGTGAAGCTTCCGCCCAAAAAAACCCAGATGTTGCACAAGCAGAGGCTGTGACAACAGCTGACCCACACAGTGAACATCTGTGTCAGCCTGAGTCCATCACATGATTCCGATGAAGTGAAGGAAAAAATAAAAGCGCTGTATGTGTAGTGACACTCCAAGCACAGAGTCATAACTTGTCCACCCTATTTGGCAACCTAATAGCTACTCTGACAAGGTCCTGAGAACAGAGTGAGTCAGAGAGGAGCCTGAAACATCCCGCAGATAAAAGTAGATGAAGGGACAAGGAGATGACCAGGACGCAGCAGAGCAAATGTCCTGGACTGACATTCCACTGTATAGAGCGGTGGAGGAAGAGATCCCCCTTGTGGAATGAGCTGACAGCGCAGCTGGTGGGTGCAGGCCTGATGAAGAGCAAGCCTCACAAATCCAATGTGACAGCCTCTGAAGAGACAGAGGTTGTCCCACAGACTGCTCTCTGTAGTGGACAAACAAGCACTGAGAGCGACTAATCTGAGCCGTGCCCGTCACATAACATTAGAGGGGGCACACAGGACACAGCAGGTGGGAGGCCGCCTCCTCCTCAGAAATATGGGGAGGAGGGCAAAGCCATCCAGAGTGATGATTCTGAATCTAAAAGAGCTCGTAATGCTCTTAGGTGTGAAAACTGGGTTATGGTACGTTCACACCGAACTCGTTTTGAGCGACAGGAGCGGCCAATTCACGTGCAAAGTCTATGGTGGACGCGCATCTAGGGGTTGTGCGTCACTTCACGTACATTTTGGGCAGCGTGCAAGGAAGGCGGAAGGGGCGCAGAGCGTTTTCCGCGCATGCGGTGCTGCGGAAGCAGCCGCTGCCCGAGCCGCCGCCAGAGTTCAAATATCTGAACTTTTCGCCGCTCGACGCGTCTCCCACTGAAAATCGAAAAAGATGGACTGGAGATCTTTACCTGAAAGCGACCGTGTGCAGTTGGATTTTCTGGCAGGATAAATCAGCACTGATGTGAATCAGCTGTTCGGGACAGAAAGAAGTCAGTGAGCTGGCAGCTTCTGGAGTGACGAAACTAACCGAAGAAATCGCCTCTAAAACATCTGGTGGGTTAATTATCCGCTGTGCGCAATGTTCGCTTGCTTTTTAGTAAATAAATCAAAGCCATTTTCTTTTATTTTATCTTTATTCACCCGCCGAGGAAACACTCCTCCCACACCCAGCTGCAGCCGCTGTTGCTGCTTGTCGTTCTGGTCTGAACACCAGTGCGTTCTTCGGTCTGAACATAGTGCGTCCAACCTGAGGCGTTTTGCGCTTTTTGGCAGCTCAAAACACATTCGGTGTGAACGTAGCATTAGGACGCAGGATCGCAGAGTTGCCGACTTCCCCTATCCTGAGGCAGGATGGAGACACATACAAAGCCGACAGCTGGCTAATTCTTTTTGCTGATCTTAAGCTAACGACAGCTCTGTTTTTTGAGACAGAAAACTTGAGGGAGATCTGATCCAAACGCTTAAAAGGAGCTTTAGTCAGGGCATGTAACAGCAGTGAAAAATCCCACTGTGGAGCGAAGGTGCGCATGACAGGTCTGTTCCTGCTCACTTAGGAATCGCTTAACCAGTGGATGGTTAAAAACCGTCCTATCACCAAAACCCTCATGACAGGAAGAAATCGCTGCTATGTTTTAACAGCGCTGAAAACCAAATTTCTGCCCATTAGCTTCTGTAAGAAGGTCAAGATGCAGGACAGGGGGCATGAGACTGGGTCTGCATTTATCTCCATACGCCAGCGCTGGAAGAATGACCACTTCGCTGTGTAAGATGAGATCGTGGATGCCGCGCGCACCCCCTGAATGGTGCGTACCACATCAGCGGATAAACCCAGATTTATTAAACAATCCCATTGAGCAGCCAGACCCACCGGGTCTTTAGCTTCCTCCTGCCAGGCAGCTGAAACGGAAGGTCTGACAGCAACGACTGGAGGACCGGGAACCAAAGCGCCCATGTGCGCTTCAGAATGATCAGAACTCGCCTCCAGTCCTCTTTGATCCAATCCAGCAGACGTGGGATCAGAGGAACAGGTGGAAACACATAAGCAGTATATCCGGCCAAGGACGGTGCGCAGACGCGCCCCCCTCCAGAGGAGGGTCATCCTGGGAGCTCAGAGAAAACCAGAGTTGCATTGTGCGTTTCTCTGCTGGCGAACAGGTCCACTTCCGCCCTGCCGAATCTGTCCCAGATTTGCATAATTATGGTCTTGTTGCAGGGTCCAGTCCCCATCCCCGGGGACCCCCCCTGGACATGATGTCCGCTCCCCTGTTCAGCACACCTGGAATGTAACTCGCTCAGATTGAGCACAAGTGGGAAGTAGTTGTATGCCCAGAGGAGAAGCTCATGGGCTGTGCCCAGCAACGGCCGGGAGCGCATCCCCCCACCCCCCACAGATGATGTAAGCTGTTGCCACTCTGCTGTCCGAGTGGACCAGAACATGCTGGTCCTAGACCAGATGAGTGAAAAAACACCAGTACTTTTCACACCGTCAGGAGCTCCAGAACAGTTATGTGGGGAACAGGGTGGAAGCCCAGTGGTCTCCCACTGTCTGGGACAGGCATGTCCACCCCCACCCTGACAATGACGCGTCCCTGAGACCGGCACGTGATGAGTCGCTCTGCTCAGATGGACTCCTGCTGACAGTATGTGTGTGCGGCTTTCTCCAGTGGCTCAGATCTGCCTCCACTGACGAGGGGATCGATACGATCCTGCGCTTGTGACATAACAGGTCGATCTTCAGCTGGGAGAACCACCGCTGCAGGCGTCTCGTGTGTAACAGCCCGTGCGGAACCACCGCGTGGGCCACTGTCATCATGCCCAAGAGATGCATGATGGTTAGAGCTGTCACTGAGCTGCGGGGCCTGATATGCGCTTAGCAATGAAAGCAGGACCCCCACTCTTTTTTTTGGTTGGGACAGGCGAGCTGTCATGGTGACTGAGTTCAGATCCACACCCAAAAACGTGATGAGTTAGGCTGGAACGAGAGAACTCTTTTCCCGTTCTATGGAGAAGCTCAGCATCCTCAGGTGTGCTGACAGCTTCTCTGTTTGTGACGCTGCTTCCTGTCTGGATGGAGCCAACAGAAGCAAGTCATCCAGATTAAACAGGATTCTCATTTCCGCTGAGCACAGAGGCTGCAGCGCCGTGTCCACACACCTGGAGAAAAGGCATGGTGTCAGTGCGTAACCGAAAGGAGGTCGGTTGTACTGGTACCGGGTCTCCTGTTTTCTTGGGAACAAGAAAAACTGGAAGTAAAAAAAACCCTGAATTCCTCCCCACTGGGAACCTTAGAAATGAACTTCCTCGTTCAGGAGTTCCTGAATCTGTGCTTGGAGAGTGAGATCCCGCTGAGGAGACAACAGGAGGGTCTCCAGGGTCTCGCCGAACCGGGGAGGCGTACTTGCAAACTGTAGCCTGTAGCCCGTACTTACCGTGCTTCATCCACTTGCCCAAGGGACAAAAGTTTTCCCAGACCGCGCTGCATTCTGAAAGAACTCGCGCATGCACAGGTTGCTGAGCGGTTGTCGTAGCAATACTCAGAGCCTAGCCGCCGTCATGCTCTCTTGTGTGACCTATGGGGGGCTGTGCTCCAAAGGCCCGTGCAGGAGCTCCAGGGAGCCTTGCTTGCCATCAATGTTTTGACGTGACCCGAGAGGGGCTACCTCTGGGACCGTACGTGAGCACGAGTTCAAGCTAGTTCAGCAGAGCCAGACACAGCTCATCTTGCCGCTGTGATTGGTGGGTTTATGCTGCAACAGGGGTGAAACAACGCACCCCTGTTTGTGACGTGGCTCATGTTGACTGTCTTCTCCTACGTCCGCTGTTCGCCAGCAGGATGAAGAGGAGAAAGTCTGTGCGTTTGACGGCCACAAGGGGCGGAACGAACCACAGAATGTGAAAAAATGGTGGGAGAGGAGAATGTTGTGTGACTGTAATGGTAAAGACGAGAGGCCAGCTAGGCACAAGACTAGCGGCTTAGACTTGCCCAGAGTGGAGCAAACATGTGTGAGACAGACAGCGTCCTGAGACCTGACTGAACTGGACACTTGTGAGAGGAATTTGCCCCTTTAAGGGAAGATGATTACTCACAATCATCAAAACACACATTTCTCCTTCCAAGCCATCATGCGGGATACACACACGGCCTAAGCGGTGCAGAGATTAAAACTCGTGCCGGCCGCTGCGCGGAGGTCCTGTCTCGCCTCCCTCTCTGCTGCTCTTGAAAAGTTGACGGCCTGGAGAGTAGTGGTGTTGGTTGCAGCTCCCGACTGTGCCGCACGTTGGCAGAACTGATCGGTCCAGCTGCCAAGCTGCTGGTCCACTGTTTGTGAGGGAAAGGTTGCCTTCCGGTAGACCGTACCGTCTCAGCGCCAAAGACCGTGGAAGGTGCAGGTTCCAGCTCAGGAACGGGCGGGAACTGTAGTCGGTCATTCCTTCCCTTCGACCTTCATCACATCTGTGTGGAACGAGACTGAAGCTCTCAGCTCTGAATAAGTAACTCTTAGCATGCTAACTAGCATCTCCATGTTAGGGGCAAAAACTTGCATTTTCTAAATGGTTTGAAAAACTTCGAGACCAGTCCTGTCTGGGAGCACCGACAACTGAAGGCCTTAAAAAACTGCTAGCTAACACATCTGTGTTATGAGCATGCTAGCAGCGACCCTCGAATGGTCTGGTCAAGCTAATTAGCATCTCCAAGGCTAAAAGCTACACCAAGCAGCAGCACAGCTGACTCCGGCCTCTCCACTGAGAAGCAGGAACAGGACGCCTGCCGAATGTCAGAGCTCGACTTAGCTTAGCTAGGTGGCTAGCTAGCTAGCTAGTTTAGCTAGTTTCCCGCTGAGTTTCAGGCAGGAAAAACTCAGCTAGCCTGGTCTCCCTCCTCGGAGGATGATGGCTCTGACCATGATGCAGATGAGAAACGCGTCGTCTGACTGGTCTGAAAAAGCTTCCAGTCCTGGTTGGGAGCGTCAACAACTGAAGGCCTTAAAACACTGCTAGCTAACACATCCATGTTACGAGCGAGCTAGTAGCGGCCTTCGAATGGTCTGGTCAAGCTAATTAGCGCCGCCAAGGCTAGAAGCTACACCAAGCAGCAGCACAACTGACCCCGGCTTCTCCACTGAGAAGCGGGGACAGGATGCCTGCCGAATGTCGGGGGTAATTCACTCCTATCCCGTCAGCATTAGCGGGGACTTCTCTAAGTCCAACGCAAGGGATTGCACCTGATTTAGCTTGGCTAGGAGGTTAGGTAGCCAACTGGCTTAGCCAGTTTACCGCCGTATCTCAGACGGGAACTTGGCTAGCTAGGGCCTCCCTCCACAGAGGGAGATAATCAGACCATATTGGAGATGAGTAAGAAAAAAAACACATGAACCGAGACTCCTTGAGTCCACGTGGTATGCACGAAAATGTCCGGCGCCTAGCTTAGCTTAACACCCCGCCGCGGGAATATCAGCGGGAAAATATTAGCTAGCTTCGATCACCCTTCTCCGAGGAAGGAACCTGGAGTAAAAAACGGGTCATGCCGGGGTTAACCGAACCTCGAACAGCCCGGTAATGACAGTACACGGATCATAGCTGGTGGCGCTCGACATGAGTCCCATGCTGATATAAAAGAAATCATAGCACTTACATGCATCTTCTATGGTTACATGTAGAATGCCGAAGCTGAAGAAAAATGAGGGAGCCGTACATCGGTCTGACCGGCTTTTATACGGACCGAGGTGGGGCCTCATGGTACGTGGGCTTAGACTATTGGTTTATTCAGAAGGGGCGTGGAGGGATACCCATCTGCGATAGCCTTATGGTGCGTTCACACCRAACGCGATTTCAGCGTCAGGAGCAGCAGGTTTACATACAAAGTCTATGGTGGACGCGCTTCAAGCAACCTCGGGAAGTTCTGCGGCGCCTCAAGCGCGATTAGAGCANGGGAAAAACGCTAGCCTGGACCTCCGTCCCCCGAGAAGATAGCCAGACCATGCCGAGATGAGAGGCGCATGGTCCGAAATATCTGGGAAAAACTTCCAGTCCAGTCCTGGCTGGAAAAGTCGATGTCTAAAAGCCTTAACTACTAGCTACCACATCCGTGTAACGAGTGAGCTAGTAGCGGCTATGAAAAACGGGGACTCCGTGGAGGCACGAGGGTGTCCGGCGCCATAGCTTAGCATAATACCGCACCGCGGGAACACCCGCGGGAAAATATATGCTAGCTAAACCACGATCAACCTTCTTCCGAGGAAGGAGACCGGAGTGAAAAACGGGTTGTGCCGGGGGAAAAACCGATCCCCGAGCAGCCCGGAAGGATGGCTAAGCGGATCATAGCTCGGTGGCGCCGGACACGAATTTCATGTCAATATAAAAGAATCATAGCACTTACATGTATGGGCGTCATCTATGGTACATGCAGAATGCCGAAGCTGAAGAAAAATGGGGAGCTGAACTCAGGTCCCCTTTTATACGGACCGAGGTGAGGCCCACAGTAAGTGGGCGTGGACTATCGGCTCTTCAGAATGCGCGAGCGCGCGCGTGGTGTACCCATCTGCGATAGCCTTAGAGCTTACACGAAATAGAACTGACGACCCCAGAGTCTGGTTCCAACCTTCCAGCCAAAGTTTCTAACAATAAACTTGTTAAAACTTTGACGTTGTTCGGTGTTTACTCAGAGCTCAGAATACAAACCGTAAAATCAACTTTCTGTTCTGTGTTAACATGTTCTCCCTGTGCATGAGTGGGTTTTCTCCAGGTCCTCCAGTTTTCTCTCACAGACCAAAATCATATTTATGTATTATGACATAAAAGCAAATAACTTAATACTTTGGGACAACACTACAGTAGATGTAGTTTGTAATTGTGCTTGTTTTGGTCTTTATTTCCAATTTTGGGTTTTTATAATTTTTCTTCACAAAAGTAAAAATCAATAAGCAAATAAAACTTTTAGCATACATAGAGGTGATGTCTTTAAAAAGCTTGTTCCTTGTAAAGTATTTTGACATTTTTAAATAAAATGACAGGCATCACAGCAGTCATTTTGGAAGGGAAGTTTCCCCATCACATTTAAAATTAATTCATTTGAACCCCCCACATTTACCATAAATATTACTTCACTCAGTGCTGTTTCTATTGCTGAAAAATTTTATTCCACTTGATTTATAGAATACTCTCATCAAGTGTCTTATTGTTTCCCAAAAGTCTGTTAACAACCTGTTAATACACTCCAGAATGCAGGAAATGGCATTTACTCATTTTAAAATTTTCTGGGGGAGGACCCCCAGACGCCCTGCCAGTGGATCCGCCCCAACAT